GCCATCAGGGAACAGGGAGGGTTGGATGGGGCAGGAGTCCCGGGAGGGGGGCAGATAGGAGGTGGGGGCCGGGCCACGACCCCCTCCCCTAACTGGCCCTCCATACAATTTACAAAACCCGATGCGGCCCTCAGGCCAAAAAGTTTGCCCACCGTTGTCATAGAGCCTGATCCTGCAAAATACTGAGAGTCTCCACTGCCAGTGGTGTCAAAGGCAGTTGAGAGTGTTCAGCACTTGCAGGGTTGGGTGCACAGAGAGGAAAATAGATAGCTACTAGTGCAGATTCACGCAAGATTCACATTATTGTTTAACTGTGCCTGGAAGTGTGACAGTGTCCATGTTGAGAGAGACTCTCTGAGCCTGCATCAGAGGGGGAAGGAAGGAAGGAAAGCAAAGGCTGGCTTTTTGTAAGCACTTTGGAGCAGATTGTGATTTGCCCTTCAGAATCTGATTTCCTTCAGCATAAAGCTCATAGGTGAAATCTGCTGAAAAAGAGTCAGAGTCCAACTATAATGGAAAAAGAGGTATTGAATTTCCAGACTCATGTGATGCTGGATAATGGAGAGGAAAACAGTGCATATAAATCAGCCCTACTGGGAATGGAAGGATATGAGGCAAAGAGCGATCCAAGAAGCAAGTGTCTCTTTCCTGTTAATCCAAAAGAAATTTCCAGTTCATCAGCCCAGTCTGAATGTGTAGCCTGTCTGCCCACCACTCTGGAGTGGTTATGGGGGAAAGAAAATAGAGCCTCTTCATCAGTTAGCTTGGGGATGTTTGCACTGCCGCTGCATCTGCTCAGCGGAGCACCTGTTCCATGGATAAAGAGAGCTTCAGTCTCCAGAGCTGTCAGGCTGGCACCTCTCCCCAGCATTAGGTGGCCTGTAACAGTAAAGCATTTGTTCTGGGTGGTTTGGGAGGGTGAGGAGGACTATCAAGCATTACAGACTCAGTATAAGGTGTTTGCAAACAGATCTAAGAAGGAAGATAACAGGGTCAGATCTTGGGCCACGCAAACTTAAAGGACACCAAATAGTTCTTCGGCTGTGAACCAAGGAAGTTACCTTTTAAGGCGATCCTCTCTGATCACTCAGCATGAAGAAATGTGGTTTGTATTTCTTCTTCCACACCAGTTCCTGCAGTCTCTCCCTGACGGGTGAGACAAAAAAGCCTTCTTGAAAATCTCCCCTTTGTCTGAAAATGGGAACATATCATTGACATCCCACAAGTGGTTTTAATTATTCTACTTTTAAAATTGTTATGAGATGGTGGTTTGTAATCAGTGTCAAGATTCTCCCCGGGCATAGGATCTGATAGCTCAGAGGTGTTCTGCACAGAACGAAGGGTGGAGCATACAAATCCACAGAACATTTTTTAATCAAACTCTAGGGGAATGGGTTTGATCTGTAAACGTGAACAGTGTTGCACTTGTTATGGAGGCAGATGGCAAGGCCTGTGCTCTTTACAAACTCAAGCAGATTTGGACAAAGCTAAAACGCATTGTTATAAAATAATGAAGTTGAATGCTTCAGATGTGACTCAGGAGGAAGACACCTCACTGGTGTTGTCTCTTGCAGATGGAGCTTTCCCCTGAGGTGACTTAATTGCTTTTGACATATCTTTATTACATAGCTTTGTATGACTTACATTATTGTGTTACTGAACAGCTTCAGCAATATAGAGCCAGGTTTTCACATACATCTGTAGTCGAGGCAATAGGAATAGTTCACTGGAAACCCCCCAGCAGTGTAAGCAGCTCTGTTGCTGAAAACACCACCGTAGGTGTGGAATTTTCTCAAGACACAACCCTTAATTGTCAGCCTCCCATCTTAAGAGAGTGCCCCGAATGAATTGAGCACAAATTGACTCCACCCTTATTGGAAGGCCCACATCTGTTTAAATAGCAGATTGTGGTTGGTCCTTTGGTCATATGTGCAGGTTTTGCTGTGTCTAAACGAGCATGGGAAACTTTCAAGAGTTATTGTCACTTAAAGGTTAACTGCAAAAAAACCAAATTAGGCTTGTATCTTTTGTTTCCCCACTTTTTATTTTTTTATTTATATTCCAGCAGCATGTAGAAATCCCAGTCATGAATTGGGGATCCCATTGAACCAGGCACTGGGGGACGGAGGTATTGGAAGGGTTGTTTTTTCTCGTCCCTGCTTCTTTTTATTCCTCATTAGACATTTAGGTCTTGTCAACTCTGGGAAACTCCAAGGTGATTGGGGAAGTAATTAAATTACAGCTTTACAAGACACTGAAATATGATTAATTTTTAGTGAGGCTGTTTTGAGACTGGAGCCTAGCCAGCCACATGTGTTCAAAAATCATGAGTCAGGCCCCCCAAAATCATGAGTGGATTAAAAATCATGAGATTTTTTTGAAGTAATACATGTTGGGGGGGTTTATTTGCCTTTTGTTTTGTTTTGACCTTTTTAGGGTTCATGTTTTCCAGTTTTTCTCCCAAATCTAAGAGCTGAAAATTTACTTTTTTTTAAATGAAAGCTGAGATTCTCATGCATTCATGTGCCTCTAGGAACTGGGGCTTCAAAATATCACATATTATGAGACTGAAGATAAAATCAGGAGAACTGGCATCACTTAGAAGGAGTTAACAAAAACCCTATTAACCGCACTACCTAATGAACATTTGGGAGAAAGGATGTCTTTGCTGAAGATTCAGAAACCCTTCACTCTGCCCTTTTAGCTAGGGAATGAGAGCTCATACAGAGACATCACTGGAACCCTCAAGAAGTTCTCCAGCAAAACTGGGGAGGACCTGACTTGAAATTCTTAAATAACTTAAGAAGGAGGGAAAATGGCAAACAAATCAATTAAAAAAACCAACAAAACTTTTCAAGCCTTCTTTACGTGCCATAAAGCAGCAAAAAGGGCACAAATCTGTTTTAAAAAATCATTTACAAGTTGCTTTTAAACAGTTTAAGTGGGCCTAGTCTTCCGCTGACACATAAGTAAATTATATGGGTAACTCCAGTTATTGCCTCAAGAGATGTATGCATAAATCCTCCCTGTGGAGCAAGGGAAGAACAACTCCTTGAGGTTTTTAAACCCTCTCTTTGTGCCCACCACTTTAGGGATTTATGGCATTTTTCTGCAGTGATGACCGCTCCGGCCCTGGCGCTCATTTTCCCTGAACCTAACCTCTTGGAACCTGTGAATACTTCAGACTTCATATAGCCATTGGCGACCATGCTGAACGTTAGCACGCCTCAGCTCCTGGGCCATTAGTAGAATACGATGACCATCACGGCGAGCTTGAAGCTAGGTGTTTGGGAATTTAAAGTTCTCTCTTTTGTGGGGGAAACTCGGAATCACTGACTAATAACGAGAAGGTGCTATTTTGATGACAACAGTGGAATTATCATATCACAAGTTGGTGGTTTTTCTTTTTTTGCCCACCTCAGCAAGTGTACAGTAAATCCCTCTACAATACCTAACAACCATTCATTTGCTCTGCAGTAGTTGCTACAGCTAGGTTTTTTTAACAAAAGACCGGACAGACTTCCTGAGCTACCACTAAGATATCTATGTCCCTCTGAATGCTGGGTAGAGCACTTAGCCTGCAGCTAAGGCAAGGACTGGATTCTGCACACATTACCTGCAAAGCAAGATACTGGTGTACAAGTCGCCCTGTACACCTGGATGCTTCCATTCTTCATTATTTGGCACATTGCTGAGGATGTTCTAAGCCACTGTTAACATAGATCAGTTTTTAGAGCTATTGCCCTTGAAGCTCTCCCGTCTAGGAGCTCTGCCTTTTTGTTTTGTTAAAAGCCAAAGTTTTTCTAAAAATTTATTTAGTGAGTTAATTTTCCAGTCTCCTCTGCTAGGGCTAATTGGCTACATATATACTCTTCTGGAATTAAAGGGCTTGGACTGTAAACAAACCAGGGGTGAGTGTAAATAGAGGGCGGTAGGAATTCCTGCAGAGTATATGGAGAAGTCCGCTCCACAGGGCTCTGTGAAGTGCTCCACACCTATCATGGTGCGCTTGACTATTTCCTGCGGGCAGTGTCTGCATGTAAGATTTTTCTCAAATCTTTCCACTGTGTTGCTCTAGCACCCTAGACAAAGGAATCCAGCTGCAGGCCAGATAAGACCAAACCACCAGGATTTCAAGGCATTGGCACACAGTGCCGATTCCTTTACTTTAATCACCGTCATAATCTTCCCCAGTAGCATGGTTTGCTCCTTAGCTTTGCTGCCAAAGCGCTTCATGTGGTCCCCTGCGATGCTTCCCCTCTCCAGAAGTGCCAGGTTTTTGACAAAGACTTGGGGAGAAGGCATGGAGCAGACGTTCCAAAGTCATTTCTACAAGCAATTGCAGTAGTTGAAGGAGGAAGCTTGGCATCTCTGGAGCTGATCTCCAACCTCTCCACCTGGCTGTATCCCCCTCCCCAAAGTGTCCTGGGTTCTGACTGTGCTGTGTTCATACTGCGGGGGTGGGGTGGGGAGGTTGGGGTGTTATGCTGCGTAGGCTTAGGAACTGGTGGAGTGGAGTATGGCTGCCTTCTATCTGCCACTCCCCTCAAGAGTAGAAATGGACATTTGAACTTTTCTGTCACTTTTCCCACCCCTTTCCCTCCCTTGCATTATTTGTCTTGCTGGCCTTGCTTGGTAACTTATTCCATATGTTCAGCTGCAACTGGGCATGAAGTATTTCTGCTTGATTTCCCTGTTCACTCTTTAGTTTCCTCGTTATTCTATAATGAACCAAATCTAACCTGCAGCAGCAGTTTTTCCAGTTCCTCTGAGACAGAGCTAATATGCTCCGATTACTTCTGTTATGTCACCTTCGTGACTTCTCACGTAGAGGGAATAAACACCGTGTCTTTGCCCCAGAATGCAGATGTTAAAATGATCAGATCTGTCTGCAATATGAGGATGTGGCCTCATTAGTGTTAGCCACAAGAAATGATGGGAGATTTCACCTCCTCTTCCTCAAGGCTCAAGATTGGGGAGGGGGAGGGGAAGAAAGCTTTCTTGGACTGAATTTTCTTCCTTTTGGTTAAATAAACAAAGCTCCATGAAGGACAAACCTCCATGTTGTTCCTGCCATAATGGACCAGAGTCTAACAACAGGGAACAGTGTCCTGTTGCGTCCTCTGTGACTGATGGAGTCAGTGCTTTCTGCCTCAGGCAGCATGTCAGCCAAAGGACATCACTTGTTTCGTTCTTCCAGCCAACCCATGGAGCAGCATTTATGTCAGTTGTGATCACACTCTCCTACCATGAGTAATTAAACAATTGGGCAATGCTGAGAGAATGGGTGGAGAGCCTTCAAAGTGACAAAGATGCAGTAAGATTTTTGAGCTTGTTCAAAGGCCTTCATTAAAGTTGAAGTGTAAAGCTTTCAACCTGCTACTTAAGCCTAAGAGGCAGATTTTGGGCATGGCTTTGGTGTGGACAGTTGTGAGAGAAAAGGAAAGCCTGTGTTATGTAAACAGCCTGCCTAGATGGAGTGTCAACCAATAAACCCCAGCTGTTTCTCTGGCCCTGCTTGGAGTGTTGTACTTAATGTGGCAATCAGGAGGCTAAAATTCAACACTAATCTGACCAGGATCTGCACTAATTAATTGTTTCATTTCTATCTCTCTTTATAGCTGAATCCTTTAAGGAATTTGCAGAGTTGCTCCAGGAGGTAGAACTTGAGAGATCAATGATGGTAAGGTGACCTCCCCCGAACATCTGCTGTGGGCTAGAAGTCACAAAGCTGCTCATAGCAAACACTTGGCTTCTCTGGCATTCTCTGTTTAACTGCAAAACTTGATTTTGTTAACAAATCCCTCCTCAGGCCCTGGAGTATGACAGTGATTATGCCTATTTGTATCCTAGGCATAAGTGTATTACACAAAAGGATGGAAATTACTGTAGCAAATCAGTGGCCCGGGAGGACCACATTATTGTCATAATGCTGCACATTGGGGCCACGCAGAAATTCATGGTAGTAGTGAGGAATAGAACTTGTATTGTCCTGTTCCAAAAAAGCACCGCCTTTCACCCTTGAGCTCAAGGGGGATCTCTCTTAGCTGTTCGAAGTATAGGGCCTATGACACAGCTGCTCTATTATTCCATTCAGTAAAGAGTAATGGTGTATACATCTTCTATATCCGTGCACACAAGCTGGTTCATTACATTATATAGGGTATAGATATGACAAAGCTGTCATCACACAATTCCAGACATGAAGGGTCTGTGACCTGCTCTTGCTTTTACATGACTGTGTGTCAGACCTAGCCTGACAGTCTACCTATCTCAAATGCCCCTCACTGGCGTTTGATAGTAAAGCAGGGCTGGAAAGTTTTTGATTGTCAATTGTTGCACATATTAAGGGCTCCAGGGGGCTGATGGAATAGTAAGCTTATCTCATGGATGCTTCTCTTTCGCAATCTGTGGACAGAAATCCACCACTCTTGGGCTCTGACTCTGCACTGCATGACACCACTTTTCTGGCAGTGTAACTCCACCAGAGATAGGAACAGCACCCCAATACTGCATAGTGCAGAATAGTTCTAAATGCGTCTCCGGTTTATCCTGCCTGTCCTGCAGTAGAGTATCAGGTGAAGGTTCCCTGTTTTAGGTTCGGTGATCACGTGACTCAAGTCTTCTTCTGATTTCACAGCCTAGTCTCAGCTAGCTCAGTTGTGGGTCTAGTTACTATGTGTAACTGCCAAACTATACAAGAAAAATAGCAAGTGACCATATATACTAAGATTCCTATTGTCTCGAGGCTATGGGCTGGGAGTGCTGAAAGGATGGTACCTGACATCTTCTGATCTGTAAAAGAGAGGCAATGGCCTCTGAGTGGGATGCCATAGTCTCCACCATTGCTACTGTGCTGGGCCTTGAAAGACAAAGGAAACTGGAGGCCCTGTAGGGCTTACAAGGGATGTGGAATATCCCTCCTCAAGGACTATCTTTTAACCAGCCGTACTTGAGTATTGACCTTCCCCTCTGAATGCTCCAAAGCCAACCCAGGGGTGAGGGAGAAGGAGAGACTTTTCTATTTCTACAATATAAAGGAGTTTGGGGGGAGGGAGACGGTTCCCCTTCAGTTTGCCAGCACCTGACCCAGGTGCCAGGCAAGCCTTCCACCAGCAAAATTTGGCCATTGAGCAGCCAAGGACATATTGAAGGAACCCTAAGGGTCTGTGAAGGGTTCCCTCTTCACTCAGAAGGCAGTTAAGTTCTGATGGGGCCAGCTGGGCCATGTCCGGGAACAAACTGTTTCACGCTCCACTTAGTCAAATAGGTTGTAAAATATGAAGTAACATGCATTTCTATTTTTTTTTGTAAGGGAGCAGTTGTCCCCCTGCGCTCCTGCCTCTCCTGGCATGCAGCTCCAGAAGTGTGATTCACTCCTTTCTGTCCCTCATTACATTGTGCCCCTTTGTCTCCAGAACTCCTCGATCATTTATTGAAAGTTGGCAACCTACTTCACACTTATTCCAGGAAAAACATGAATTTTAGAATCAGTGGAAGCCTTTCACAGCATGCCAGGAATTCACTGTTTGGCTCTGCTCCCCCGTGCCCCAATACAAAGATGAAAAAACTCCTTCTATGCCATCTGGCTGAACTAGAGGGTTAGGGACAGCTATACCTCAAGGGATGCCAGGACTCTGTTTTCTGTGGCTCTAGAGGTTGGCAAGGGTCTGGGTAACAGATGAGAAAGAACCAGCAATAGACTGAAAGAAGGCAACAAGAATGTTTTGCATTGCATCCCAGGTATGGCAGCCACCTTTAGCTTACGTGGGAGGATGAAGGGGTGGGATCCTGAGAACTGCCAAGACCCCATTAACTTGAGGGTTTTCAGAGGCTTGGGGATGCCATCTGAGAAGGTTTTTTGATCTTTTTCTACCCTTGGTGTGTTATTTATTAGGGCCAGCCTTTTTACAATATCCCATTTACTTTAAAAAAATCTATAAACTATATAGGTCACTGCCCTCTCATACTGTATTGTGTGCTCTCAGTTATCAACTAACTGGTGTCCTGGCAAAGCTTTAACAGTTCTGAGTGTGTCTCCCTGCCTCTCCCACCTTTGACAGCAGGGGACAGAGGTACCCCTCAATGGTTAGGGTTGAGCTGGGGACCGTGACACATGGCAGAATATAATTTCCCCTCCAAAACTGCTAGAGAAGAGTCACAGAGCACGCCTGAAGAAGACAGCTTTCCATGAACATAATGGATTGGAAAGTTTGAGAACCATCGTGCCTTTTGTCACAGATTCCTTTGGGATAGACACTGGTAGTAGCCTTGCTACACAGTCACCTGCTTTCATGCTTCTTTGGATTACGCCTCATCAAAAGGAATGTCCCTAATTTATTTCTTTGAGAGCCACATTTTAAATCTGCTCTTCTCCCCACATGTGCTTATTGCGATCAGAAATGCTGGATCTGGAAACTGAGTGTTTTGGAAAGTGTTATGCTAAGATTATGACACTAGCCTTCTGCTCTTCCCACTGCCCTTTTTACACATTATTTTGAGCTCCTGGCTAATGCTGTGTCTGTGGGGAGCAATTCTCACATATGTGGGCCTTCCTGGGCGTGAGATCTTGGGCACAAGTTGCTGTGGGTGGCTAGGTTTGAAAAACGGCTCATTTCAGGTCTGATGCAGTTACTCCCTAGGAATGCATTCACCAACTTTCCTGTTCGCTTAGAAATGTTGGCAACAGGCCATGTTCTTGGCTCAGGGATTGTATTCACCTGTTTTCATGTCCATCAGATTCAGGGATCATCATTCAATGGTTCCACTGCAAAAGGGATAGATGCTGTAATGGAAAAGCAGGGCTGGAGCCACAGCTTTGCTGAGTGGTGTTGCAGTGAGGATGACAGAGGTTTCACTTGGTACCAAACAGATTGGCCAAGAGCAGAGGCCGGGGATAAGCCACTGCAGAGAGAGGTGTTTCTTCTACCCTGTTTCTCCATAGATTGGGCAGGAAACAATATAATTGTATAATTCCAAAGATGGAGCCAACCTGTCCTGACTCTGCAGACAGTGAGCAATCTGAGTTAAAAGGAGGTTGCAGACACCAGCATGGATGATTCATGCACCATGTTTACAATACATATAATCTGCTTCCTGCTTTTGGTGTTTTCATTTCCCTGAGAAAAGTAAACAAACAGCCTTGCCTTCTTCAGGATGCTTCTAGTTTGTGTTTGCAAAGCAGCGGGCATTCCTGTCAGCCCATCCTGCGTGAGTTGTGGTCAGCCATATGCAAGAGGGCATGTCATTATTTTTTGAGGTGCCCCATACTTTTTCAAAGATCCTGAATTAGGGTGACCAGATAGCAAGTGTGAAAAACCAGGACACTTTTTTGGGGAGTGGCGTGGGGATAGTTGTGTATGTAAGACAAAGCCCCTAATTGGGATGGTCTCAATAATATCAGGACATCTGGACACCCTACCCTGAATTGAGGAGATTCTCCTTCCAGCCAAGGAGCCTGGGTGTCTAGCAGAGCAACGATCAGAGAGGGGTTATTTAGGGGAAACAAAGAATCATTGAAATGTAGGCCTGGGAGGGACCATTAGAAGTCATCAAGTCCAGCCCCCTGCACCGAGGTAGGACCAAGTATACCTAGACCATCCCTGACCAGTGTTTGTCCAACCTGTTCTTAAAAACCTCCAGTGATGGGGATTCCACAACCTCCTTTGGAAGCCTATTCCAGATCATAACTATCCTTATCATTAGAATTTTTTTCTAATATCTAATTTAAACATACTCTTTGAGTACAGTCTTTCAACCAGTTGTGGACCCACCTTATAGTAATTTCCCTAGTTCACTTATAAGACTGTCGTGGCACTGTGTCAAAACCCTTACTAAAATCAAGGTAACATGTCTATTGCTTTCTCCCTATCCACTAGGCCAATAGCCCAGTCAACAAAGGAACTTAGGTTGGTTTGGTGTGATTTTGTTCTTGATAAATCCATGTTGGCTATTACTAATTATCCGATTATCTTCCAGGTTCTTTCAAATTCATCGTTTAATAATTTGTTCCAGTATCTTTCCAGGTATTGGAGTTAGGCTGACCGGTCTGTAATTCCTCAGGTCGTCTTTGTTCCTCTTTTTAAAGATGGAGTTCTCCCTTCTATAGACTGAGTGCCAGCTCCTGAGTGTGAATTATAGTAGTTGGACATCAATTCAGATCCTATTCATGGCAAAGTCCTGTTTTTGTTATAGGTTGTTGTGGGGGTTATCTGGTACTTGGGCTAGAAAGATCCAGAAGATGTGCTGGAGCAAATCTTCCCCTCATATTAAACATATTACATATTCCTGATTGCAACAATAGGACAATTATAACAAGGTTCCCTGAATCAAAGATCCAAATGAATAATCTCCCAATCCTCTTACTTTCAAAAGTCTGCCCCTTTGATTCCTGTAATCCAATAGAAAGTGCCACACTAGAAATGGTTAGACATTTACCCTGGAGGGTAGTAACAGATAACTTGAGGCAGAGTGCAAACTCGCCCTCCTGTGGTATTAGTAGATTTGGGGCCTGTGGAAGTCTAATAATAATACTGAACACTCTACTGTTGTCATAGCTTCTTCACAGCTCCATGAGACGGGAATAATATTGACCTGCATTGTGTAGAGGGCCAAGAAGACACATGGGTTAAATGATGTGGTCTGAGCACATTCAGCGAGTCAATATTAGAACTGGGATTACAATTTGGGCATTTCAGTCTGCCCCCCTGCCCCTGTCTCTCTTTAGTGTAACACAAATATGTGCCCTGTAACTAAGCTGTTGTTTCCTTCTCTGTTCTGCAGGTCCAAAATGCTAGTGATTTGTTGATCAAACCACTGGAAAATTTTCGTAAGGAACAAATAGGCTTCACCAAGGTAGGTTTTATACATGTGTTTATGCATTAGTTGTTTTTTTTAAAGAAGCAGGATGGTACTGGAGAGATTAAAGACAGAGATTTCATGCGTACTGTTCAAGTGCAGCAGGAGCATTAAAGACATTTCTCCTCCCCAGTGCCGGCATGCTGGAACGAGGAAGTCCACCCAGGCTTTAGTCTGACTTTCTATCATGAGCAGTACCAAGGGTACTTCCTGAACTCATGAGGCTCAACTCTGGCATAATCCCAACACAGACCTTCCTGAGAAAGTTGCACCCTCTTTCCCCAGAGATCATGAAAGTCCTCTTTTGCCTTACTACTTGCCCTCCCCCTTGTTTGCAAGGGCCATGTTGGACCTGATTTTATTCTAAATTCAGTAGAATAAAATAACCCTCCCTCTTTCCCCCCTCAAAATAGATCAGAGAGAAAAAAACTAGAGAGACCAGTAATCAGGACTTGAATGTGGCATAGGACTCAGTTTAAGAAATGTTTAAATAATGCTTCTAATGGCTCTGTCATATGGACCAAGTTTTTAAAGCAACGCATCACAAAAAGTGAGTCCTGCACATGTGGAGCAGAAAAGATTATTTCTTCCTTGTCGGCCATCAGGGACTCAGGGTCCACGTTATTCAGCAGCAGTTTGAAATGAGGCTGGGTCTGAACCAGCTCCAAAATGGAGACATGCTTAGAGCCTGGATTCAGCCCGACCCATCTGAGCCTTTGACATTTAATAAATAATACATTGGAGAAAATGATACTTAACCCCCCTCACACACACACTCCCCCCAAAAAACAAACACCAAAAATAACCAAACACATACAAGGGTAATTTACATGTGCTGGACACTGACAATGTGCATGGCTCCATATCAGACAAAATGAAAGTGTCCCTGCCTGTGAGCAAACACCTGCTGTACAAACAGTCCACACATGCTTTGTAGAGATAAAACTCACCCCTTTCAGGGGTTTGTTTTTATTAACAAGGAAGTCAACTCCTATTTAGATTGGTACCTCCCCAAAGAGCTTACATCTTTTTATTCTGTGTTTGTACAGCACCTAGCACGACGGGGGCCTAAGCTCTACCACCATACAAATAAATAATAATAATAAGGTAACAAAGTTTACTCCAGTCCTGCTTCCTAGGGCTTGTCCCCTCAGGACTGCTCCGCCCCCACACTAGATCCTTTCTTCCCAGAGAACCACTCCCACCTCCTTTATTTGGGTGGAATAACGAGCCACCTGTCTCATGGAGTTCAAAAAACCCACCTAACCCTTTCCCAGCAAGATCAACACCTGCAGTCAGGATAAGGTGTTTCAGACAGACACTGCCAATCTGTTACACTGCACCACACAACGAACAGTTTAATAGACTGAAATGGAGAAGACAGAGGAAGCCCAGAGAAAGAATTGACTCAGAATTATATAGTTCTTTGTCTACTCTTTATGTGTCTTTAGGAGGTACTAGAAGAAGAAAAGCATTGTGGACTGGTGACCTGGGATGAGGAGGGTATTTCATGCACCTCACACCATCAACATAAGCTAGGAAATTACATGTTCAATGTGACTCACTTTATCCTGAATGTTGTTGCGATGCCCTGAAGTGGGGAAGGGCACAACGGATCTGAGTTTCCAAAAGGGATAGATGTCCATGTGGGGTGCCATTGGGTGCCACAGTGCATGCGGGTGGAGGAAGAAATGGAGACCTCAAATGAAGGTAATGGATGAGTTCCCTCCTCCATCCTTGCCCCAGTTTCCAGACCCTCTCCCCATGCCTGTGGAGATGAGCCTAACAGAGCCTGAAATCACACCACCTCCAAAGAACTACCAAACGGGAAAGTTCTCTGAGCATTAACTCTGGTTACATCTACACTTCGAGTGACTGATTCCCAGCTGGCATGCATATACTCATGCCAGTTCTGATCTCAGCTAGTACGCTAACAATAGTAGTGTCGCTGTGGTAGCACAGGCAGTAGCTGCCTGGGCTAGCCACCCCAAATATATACCCAAGGACATCAGGCAGGTTTGTACTTGGGGCAGCTAGCCCGTGTTGCCGTAGCTACACTGCTGTGTTTAGCATGCTAGCTCGATGAGTATGCATATGTGACCTTGGAATCACACCCTAGCTCAGACTGATTTGAGGCTCCATCTACACTAACTCAGCACAAACGTCTATCCTTTGTGCTACTTATAGAATTGCCCCACAATGTCGGCGCCCCTAGTATTAGACAGAGTGAAGTACAGATGAGGGTCAGCGCGGTTATTAGAGTTTTCCATTGGAAATCGCAGCACTGGGCTACCATAAAAGATGAAGTGATATAAAGGCCTGATTCCTGCCCTCGCTCCTGTAACTCCATTGACTTCAGTAGAATTCCGCTTGACTTGCCCCAGTGTGAGTGAGATCAGGACGAGGTCTTTAGTCATGCTGAGCAGAGGCACGGCAGAGATAATTCGTACCCTTTGATTACTGTTTTCTGTGTTTGTCAGTCGCCTTCTGTAAGATGCTTTCCGTTCTCTTTCAAGGACACTGATGCCAGATAGGAAGGGCATTTGAATTGGGCCTTTGTGACAGCTGTGGTTGGAGAACGGCCAGATAGTCTAAGACATCTGAGTCTGCACTAACCCGCTTTTCCTGGGGGATGAATGGAGTCTCTCTGTTAAATGGTGTATTCCGACACAGATGCCTCTGCAGGGTTTCACTGGGATACAGCACAGGGGGTCTTTCTTCAGTTACCCTCCTTCACCAGCAGCAAGGCCTGGGATTATTGCTATTTTCATGAATTATAGATAAATGTTTGTTTGCGTGAATGCTGGGAGAGTGGCAATACAAGGAACACCTGCATTGTGTTTCTCTACAAGCTCATACCATGGCAGAGGACCCCAATGGGATTCTTGAGCTGACTTTAGTCTCTCAACCCTGGCCTGGAAGCATCATCCATTCTAAAATGAGATAGTGAAAGATCAGCCATAGATGTTGGATTGTTGATTGTTGGAGTTTCAAGTGAGAAAGCAAAAAGAACTTGCTGAGGATCATTGGATGGGTTCAGGTGAGATTTAGGAGGAGAAAACCCAGAGCTCTAATCCCGTATCAACTCCATCTATGAGAGAAACAAGCATGATGGTTTATTTATTTTTAAGTCTATAGCTGACCAAACTCACTCTGGTCAGGTCAGGGGCTTGATCCAAAGCCCAGTGGAGTTAAGCATATTGACACAGACGTCACTGGATTTTGGAGCAATCCCCATGTCATTTATGTTTAGAATATGCCTTGGTGAAGCATGGTGTCTGGATATGATGACCATGGCATTTGAAAATTAGTGAGATTGTGCCATAAATCCTGGTATTTCTGGAATGTAGTAGCCTTCAAAAAGGAAAAGGAAGAAGACTGGGGACGTTGCTAATGTTTTGGGGAGAGAGAGGGAAGTGTCAAATACTAAATGGGATTTGAAAGAAGGAAAGTGAACATTTGGGTATGGCATCCAGCAACCAGGCCAAGTGAGAAGATGCTGTTTAGAAGTCTTAAGTTACTCCTGATCTACAAGTCTTTTCTTCAGAGGAACACATGCACAGTGTAACGGAAACCACTTTATATCAGGGTCAAGAAAAGCTTCTGATCTTCCTGGAGCAGCAGAAATCACTTCAGAACGTTTCTAAAGAATGATGCTGCACTAGTGACACATAGGAAAGCTGAAAGCTTTTTCACACTAAAAGAATTTGTCTGTTCCCTTCCCCTCCCCCTGCTCTCATGTCCATCCAGCTAACCTCTTTGTCATTTCTAAATACACCTCTACCCCATTATAATGCGACCCGATATATCACGAATTCGGATATAACGCGGTAAAGCAGTGCTCCGGCGGGGCTGCGCACTCCGGTGGATCAAAGCAAGTTCGATATAACACGGTTTCACCTATAACGCGGTAAGATTTTTTTAGCTCCCGAGGACAGCGTTATATCGAGGTAGAGGTGTATAAGCAGTGGACAAGCTGTATGTTGGGTGCAGGACACCTTTGTTAACAGCCTTGCTGAATTAATTCAGCTTATGAGAGTTTGAAATCCACTCAGAATTGCTGGTTTACTGGATAGACACATTTTTTGTTTTCTTTGTCAGACTTTTTTGAAAATCTATTTTGGATAATTCTGGTTAGCCTGAGGAATATTTACTACTGCGTGGGATTCTGTGCATGCTATAAATCGAAGTTTAAAAAACGGTTGATAGTGTGTATTCAAAGGGCACTTAATGGTCTGTAGTCCTGTAGACCCAGTAGGAAGTGTATGTGTGTTATGAAGTTGTAGGACCCAATCCTGCAAACACCTGCTAGTGGGTATATTGCCTATTACTGTGAGCTGTTCCACAGAAGCCATAGGAAATGTTAGCAGGATTGGCCTACAGTTTGTCATCTTCAGACACACTTTTTCAGTGTTCAAATGTGCACCAGACCAGCAGTCATACTTAGCATGTAGTTCTGAAATGATTATTAACAAACAAAAAAAAGAGGAAGAAGAGAAGTTTTCTTGTTCTTAGATCTCCGTTTGAGGCAAATCAGGAGAATTTTGGGGAACTAAGTGGGGGAAAAAAACCTGAACTATGCTAGAATATTTTTACAGAAATGCTCACACAGCATCTTTCAACTGCATGGACATTTTTATATTTCACACAACTTTTATTTTAAATAACTCATGGTATACGGTACCATAAAAATCACTTGAAAACACAGCCATTAAACATTTTTTTCTGCATCAGTTTTCTTGTTATTTTCCTTTGATTCCTCCTCCCTCAACCTTTTTGTTAACATGAAAATGAGACAGAGAATTAATAGCTAGGGCTAGCACACGGTATATAATTTGCAAAGAATTCATCTTGTGAATTTAGTGCCTGTCCTGCTATCAGATTATCTGCCAGTGGATTGTGATTTCCTCACGTTGATTCATTGTCTGAATTTATTCAACACATCTTTATTCTTCATTGAGCCTAAAAAATTCAGTAGATGTATTTGATAAACAATA